ACCAAGGATTGGCTAGAGCAAAGTCGGTTCCTACAAAGACCTATTCCAATGAAGTTGTCACGTTATGGTACAGACCACCTGATGTTCTCCTCGGATCTTCAGAGTATTCAACTCAAATTGACATGTGGTTTGTATAGCTTTGTCTAATTAAATTTTTGTTCTCAGTCAAGTTGAAAAAAGGTCAAGTCTTTATTATTTTATAGTAGCATTCAAATACTCATCCTTTGAATTTTTGAAGGCTGCGACTGAATAAGATTTTTAGAGAAAGGATTGGCAGACAGGGAAGATGCTATTATTTCTCTCTGAAAATGCAGAGTACCTTTTTGTTGCTTAGAGTAAGCAGGCACTAGGCCCCCAGTGTTAGGGGAAAGAAACAAACATATTCTCCTAATGACATCATGACGTGGTAGTTTACTATGAACTTCAATACAATTGATACACTTGACAGCTGAAGGAAGAGGATATAATATAGCTATGACATAGGTTTTGTTTGGTCTTTGACAGTTCTTTTGTTGTTGCAGATCTTTCAAAACAATATTTTTAATAGCAGTGTGTGGTTAACAACTAATTTAATAATTTGCTTTAATTGAAGAGAAATCACAGAAGTATTTAAGAACTGAAAGATTAAATTGTTGGATTGTTTCTGATTTATCTTTTTCTCTGTTTTTGTAAAGGGGCGTCGGATGCATATTTTTTGAAATGGCATCAGGAAGGCCTCTTTTTCCTGGTTCGACTGTTGAAGATGAACTGCACTTAATTTTCAGACTTCTGGGTAAATGGATACTTTTAGCAGTAATGTTAATGCTATATGTCTGTTCTTCTAAATAGTTTTTCCATGAGAACTATAGATGCTTATCTGTAAACAATGATATTTCATATTGCATTGTAATTAAGGTGAATGAGTGTACTCTTGATGAAAAATGATTGAGCTGAGTGCACAGCTGAGTTTGTACAACATAGATTCACTGGCTGATTTTTTTCTTTCTTTCTTTCTTTCCTGTTTAAATTACAGGATTAAATGCTTATTTATGTCAAAGTTGTTTCTTTATATTTTTTTAAGTTGATTTGTTGCTCTTTTTTTAACCACAGGAACCCCATGTCAAGAAACATGGCCAGGCATTTCTTCCAGTGATGAATTTAGAAACTACAACTTTCCTAAGTATAAACCACAACCCCTCATCAACCATGCACCAAGGTACTTTGTGTTTTATTAATAGAAAATATGCATCCTTGTGGCTTTGCATATTTGTAAATGTGAACATGTTTCCAAGTACGGTCTGCTACTGAATGCTGGAAAACTACACATCAGTTGTGTTATTGTGGGCAGACATTAACGCAAAGCATAATCCTGGTACTATGTGATTACTTTGTCTAATATCATTCAAGGTACCACAGCTCCTTAATGACCTATAGAATTATAAACTCCAATTAATAATGCCTGCATAGTAGGAGTATTGACACAGCACTTTCTAAATAACCCAAATTCTCTTCTATTATATAATAGGCCCATTGTTAAAATGGCAAGTTTTCCTTAAGTAGTCTCTTAAAATCATTCTGAAACCATTATGAGGAATTTGAAGGATCTGCACAGTTACTATAAATAAACTTTATGACAAAGACTGCAACAGTTTTATTGACTCTGAAGAAAAAGATCTAACATTGTGTCCTTCTAGTAAATGAGTAGTGTTAGGGTTTGTTTTTTTTTTTTTTTTAAAAAAAATTTTTTTTGCTGAAATAGATGATCCAGGTCAACCTAGTAAATCACAGTCCAAAACACAGGATTTGTCTGTGCCCCCTGTTTTTCAAATAGTCTTGTTCTGAGATACTGGTACTTGTGTGTATACACAAGTGTGTATACACATTAACATGCAGAAAAGTTGTTTAGGTGAAAGCGTTTCCATGTTTAAATTTAATTTTCAGGTTTGTTATTTAATGAAGTCAGTTGCTTTGCAGTTTTGCTTTTGTACGTTTAGTTCAATACCTGTTTTAATTTTTTAAAATATTTTTATTTTTAGGCTAGACACAGAAGGAATTGAATTGATAGCGAAGTTCCTTCAAGTAAGATATGTTTTGTGGCTTTACTTTATAAAAGGGGAAGTTTAGAGTTTTAATATATTATTTACAAAATGTATGAGAATCTATAGTATCTGTTAGATCTATATAAGTGGAATATGCAGCTGAGTCTGTAATGGATGATAGATTTGGGAAGATTGACAGTTTTGGGAGGCCTGTGTACTGTTAAGATTTTAAAACCTGATGGGGGGGTGTGTGTGTGTCCCCTGTCCCCCCG